TCCCTAAACTTCAGGCTCCCAACCAGCCCAGCAACAGCTGACACAGCAGTAAGACCATGAGTAGGGGAAGATGGAGGTCAGGTACATGCACTAAGTTGCAGGGCAGAGCCTCTGGGTGCCCATAAGGATCTGCTCTCATCCTGTGAGTGTCCCTGTGCCCAAGGGAGTAAGACATTAAATAGCAGATACAACAATCATTACAGATCTAAAAGAGACCATGGAAGACATGGAAAACTTGCTTTTTTCCCCTGTTTTTGGAACAAGGTGCCCCACATTTTCATGTTGCACTGGTTCCAACAACTGTATGTAGCTGGCCCCCTTGACTCCTTCATAGTCACTTGCGTATCTGTTCAATTTCAGCTCCTCAGGGACATTCCCTAATCACTCTTCAGGGATCATCAACTTTTTCTGTAAAGGACCAGAGAATAAAACAGTGAGGCTTTGTGGGTCATACAGTCTCTGTCGTAAGTACTCGACTCTGCTGTGATAGCGTGGAAGCAGCCATAGACCATATATAAATGAATGGGCATGTATATGTTCCAATAAAACTATTTGTGGACTCTGAAATTTGAGTTTCAGATAATTTTCACCTGTCACTAATATTATTTTTCCTTCGCTTTTTTTTTTTTTTTTCCTAACCATTAAAAAAATGTAAAAACCATTCTTAGCTCACAGGCTTCACAAAAATAGTCCGAAGCCTGGATCTGGTCCATGATCTGTAGTTTGCTGATACTGGTTAAGCAAATATTTGTGTTAGCAAGTCCCTTGTAAAGTAGGGAGAAATAAGTGCTGGACCACAGGCGAGAGAGATGTTTTAAAGGAGGAGCAACAAGAAACCCAAGTACAACTCATTCTACACTTTGAAACTTGGCAAATTCCATTTGTAATTTTAATGAATTCATGAAAACATTTTTTCTTTCTTATACTGAAGGGCTAAGCAGGATCCCATCAGAATTGATTTTAGAAAAGAATGTATCAAAATCAAAGTTTAGGTGAATATTCCATTTTTAATATCACTACCATCTCCATATTCTTTTATCCCATTGCCATTATTTCATTTCTCCACATAGATATCTCTTTCTAATACTGCCTCTGTCGTTTGAGTTTTGAGGCAGCACTCACTCGTCTCTAGATTTGAACACATGAAACTTCCTTCTAATCTAAGCCTTCTGCTAACTACTTATGTGATCTTGAGCAAATTATTTAACTTTTCTGAGCCACTACATTCTGTGCCAGTGAGGCTAGCTGCCCTAACAGATAAATCAGAATCTCAGTGATTAACATTAAGGAGGCTTACCTGGACTTTTCATAAAGCCCAGTGTGGGTTGAATGACCCTCCTTCATCTTACAGCTACATCATCTGGACAGTAAGAGAGGGATGGAGAAGGCTCACTTCTACTAACAGCCAACTGGTCAGAACTACATGTTCCCAACCTAAACACACAAAAAGATGGGAAATAAAAAAGCACCTATGCTTATGGTTTTGTTGAGCACTAAAACAATGTGCAAAATGATCTCTTAGAACAGGGGTTGGCCAATGTTTTCTCTAAAGGATCAGACAATAAATATTTTAGGTGTTGTGGATAATATGGCCTCCGTCACAACTTCTCAACTCTGCCATTGTAGTACGAGAGCAGCCATAGACAATAAGTAAGTGAAAGCACATGTGTATCTGTGTTCCAATACAAGTTTATTTTCAGAAACAGAAGGCAGACCAGATTTGGGCCACAGGCCATGGTTTGCTGATCCGTTTCTTAGCGCATGACTAACATGTAATGATTCTCATTTTTCATCACCCCAAATGCTTGGAGAGTTTTGGGCAATGACTACCCTCTCAATGTTTCTTAAGCTGGCTAATAATAACCAATAGTTTTGAAGAAGCAAATAAGAATGGGGTCAGATAATCACTGATCAGTGTTTTCTTCCTTTTGGAATTTCCATTAGCCTATCTTCCTTCCTCCAGATATTTTATTTGAAGCCATGCTACAGTGAGTTCATAGTACTCTTCTCGTAGAAAGAGAAATATGCAGATTTTCATAATCTTGTACTAAATAGTTCACACTGAGTCCTGATAACATCCAAGCATACATTTTGTGTACTGCTGGTATAAAAGTGTATATATTTGTTTCCCACAAAAAGCTTATCTTCTGGCATCCACCCAAACAAGAAATCTGTGAGTCACCCTAAACTCCTCCTTTAAAATCAACCTTCGCATCCAATCAGATGCCAAGGCCTAAAGAGCTAACCTCGTTAGCCTCTCCTAAAAACATCTGCTGTCTCCAACCCTATTGCCAACACTTTACTTCAGGACATTATTGTGTCTTGGCTGGAATTCTATAACATCCTCCTAATCTGTCTTCCTTCCTCAAGTCTAGCCCTGACCAATCGATTCTCTAGAGTGCTAAAGTTAGTTTACTAAAATGCAAGCCAGCTATGAACCCCCCCGCCCTTACTTGGAAATCATCAGTGGTTCCTTAAAATATTCAAGTTAAAGACCAAGCTTCTTAACATGGCATTGAGAGTTCTTTATGATTTGGCCTCCGCAACTTATAATATCTCATGTCTTAAACCTACCACTATCTCCACATACTCTGCACTGTAGCCATTCTGAAGTATTTGCAGTCTGTACTTTCCTTCTCCTCATCCTCTTTTGTCTGCCTACCACCTCTGCTTCATCAAGATTCAATTCAGCCATCGCTTTCTACTTCCCTAAAGTAGAGACTCATCTTTGGGGTCCCTCTTTAATCTGCCTCCACTTATCATAACTCTTTCACTGTACTATACTACAGCAGTCCCCAACCCCCAGGCTGTGGACCGGTACAAGTTCATGTCCTGTTAGGAACTGGGCTGCACAGCAGGAGGTGAGCGGCAGGTGAGTAAGTAAAGCTTCATCTGTATTGGCAGTTACCCCCAACGCTAGCATCACCGACTCTGCTCCACCTCAGATCATCACGCATTAGATTCTCATAGGAGCGCCAGTCTCTGATGCCAAAAAGGTTGGGGACTGCTGCTATACTCTATTGAAGCATAATCCTTGGAATGCTTGTCTGTTCCCTCATTCACCATCCCTTCTCCAATTTAAAGTCTATTGCCACCTGCACAACAGAGACAATGCCTTACTTTACTACTCCTATCAGTGCTTACCATGGTATCTGAAATTTAGTCACTCAGCAAATATTTGTAAAATGAATTAATGTAGCAAAAATAGCCTGCTTGCTTTTGTAATTGCACAACAAATTGTGTTTTAATGTTATTAGAACTTTGGGTGGTCAGGGTTCAGATGGATGTATTTTTAAAAACATTTTAAAGTAAAGAAGTCATATATATCAGTTAGCTTGACCTTTATAAAGTTCATGAGGAGGAACATTACATTAATTTGGTTTATTGCCTATATACAAAGTTAAATAAAAATGCAACACAACACAACAACACCAAGACGATAGACATATCTGTGTTTTCATTGGAGCCAGTGTCATATTTCGTGATTTTTAATTGCTGTTATGTAGCCTAGTGGAAAGTACATTGAATGTGAAATTGAGATTCAGTAGCCCCAAGGGTAGACATTTCGTGAGAAACCAAGCCTGACATGAAATCTTGATCTTCCATACTTCAAAAGCAGCTGAGTCCTATATGGGTACTAATTTGGATTCTATTACTAAGTTAATGTGTCATAATAATAAATGACTTGCACTTTCTTGTATAACAATATTTATGTCTCTCAAACTCTTTCATAAAAGATATTGCAATGGTGAAAGAATAAAGCATACTGTGATAATTTGCACTCTTTATATTGAAAAAACTAAAATACAGACATTTTCAATTGTCTATTTTAGATTATAGACTAAATGATATCTATTTTTTTTAAAAAAATGATGAGCTGTAAGAGAGTAATAATATTATGGAGGGAAATCAACTGTGAAGTACAATGATTAAATGAACAAGAATTTGAGGGCAATGAAAATGTTAGTAAAACAATAGTTTATTGTACTTTGGGGAAAGTAGGGTACTGTAAACTAGGGTACAGTAGGGTATTGTAAAGAGATTGTAGTTGACCTCTTGTTAATTATTATGAAATTGTTACTATTTATGCAATATGAATGAGAAGAATAAAAAGTAAAAATACTTGGATTGATTCTTGGAAAATGTACATGATTCTGAGAGCCAAAACAACTGCAATTTTTTTTTTTAAAGGATTATGTTAGAACCTCTGCTAGACAGGAAAAGAAGTGAACATAATTAAAACTGTGGGAAAAAAAAAAACAGAAAACTTCTGTAGGGAAGAATCTATTGCTGACAAAGAGTATAGATTGTATCTGCCATTACTCCATGATTTTAACTTTTATGTTTAAATTGACTTTTCTTGCTATTTGAGGATTAATTAAAATCCTTAAAAAAGAAAATCAAAGTTCATTACAAATACCAAGCAGATTCTTAGATCCTGGAAAATGTTCTATATAACTTTACTTAATTCTGGTGATAAAATTTCAGCATATGGTACTTGTGAACAATATCTAATGCCACCAACTCCTTGGACTATATAAAGAACCAAAAAAATGAAATTGCCTTTATAGTGCTTCAGTGTTCTAAGGGCCCTTTTCTTATTAAATTCTGTATCTTCAGGGTCTGGCAAATACGAGATGCTTAATAAATGTCAGTTGAATAAAAGGTGACTTAGAATTGAAACTTTCTGAACTGATCGTTAAGAAAAGTTCCGTGTGCTATATTTTTACAGTCTTATGGGGAAATCTAACAAAAAGTCTAAATTATTTTATCAACTATGCCGTAATATTTTTTCATTAAATATCTTTCCATTATTTAATTACTCAAGGGATTAATTAAATAATAAATATAGTGTCTCTCTGTAAAGCACAAATATATTTTAAGTGTAGAAACTAGATAGCTTAACTGAATAAATCACCATTTAGACTAAATTGATGGGGAGAGTGGGCTAAAGATGAACACGATCATATTAATATTGTCATCACGCTCATTTATTTTAGCCTAAACAACGAACATCTATTGTGTCTTCTCTGGATTTTCATCGAATGAATCACAACCAAGAATATTTCGAAATCAGCACATCTGCAGGGTGTACAAGCTTCACTTCCAGCCCTCCTGTTAGTCCACCCACCTCTTCCGTGGGAACCACAGAAGTCAAGAATGAGGGAACTGGCCGTGCAGGTAAAGCAGTTCACTTTATGCAGCTATATTTTTGAACTTTTAAAACTAAAGCCTTTATGAGTTAGAGGAATTCAGAAGAATCTTTTGTATAAATTGCATTGTGCTTTTGGTTTACGTGCATGTGCGGCGATATAGGACTTTACGATTTAGTCAGAGTGTGGGTATAATATTCTTTTTGAATACATTCATAACCTTTTAGGTGTTACATATTAAAGATGATGATTTAATGCTATTATAGTAGTAAAATAACCAGAGACCTAGAAATGCTCTTCTTCTGCTGCTATTACCCCTCTCCACACAGTGCTATCAACTCAAAATATGAGTTTATCGATAGCTGCTCTGAGGCTAGAGAACTTGTTTCAAGGTTATCTGGTAAGATTCAGTTGGACGGTGTGGTTTAAGTGGGTTGTCAATCTGCTCAAACCAAGGTGAACTTAGGAGGAATGTGGAGAAGTAAGGCTGGGAGTATGGGGAAGATTAAGGAAAGTAACCACACACACTAGTAAAACATACCATTGGGTTTCACCTAATCAGATTTACGATGCTGCCCTTCTTTGGGGGCAAAGAGAAATATGAGAAGTGGGATCTAAAGAATATCTTTTCTTTATATCTACTTAAGGTAAATGAACTATTTAGCTACTTTTCTCCAAAGACATATGATTTTAAAATCCACCATATATGATTTTAAATTTTAGGATCCACTATATATGATTTTAAAATCCACTATATAGGATCGTAAATTTTAGGATCATAAAATATTGTCTTTGTGGTATTCCATGTAATCTTTATTCAAAATGAGTGGGCACATGAATATATTAATGTACTTATTTAAGTCCTTTTCTCTGACTCTACTTTTAAGAATACCGATACAAGCATTTCAAAAATATAGCCAAAGAATTATTTTCCCCTAGGAAAAAAAACTAAAAATTTTTAAATAATGATTAAGGGAAGTGGTGAGATTGAGATTCTGTGGAAGCTGTTGTGGCACGAATGATTCTGAGACCCACAGAGCCAATTGAGATTAATTATGAGCCTTTATTAGCCAGCTGGCGACTTACTCTCTACCATGCAGGGTTAGAGGAGATCAGCCCTGAGCTCCCAAAAGAGGCAGTTTATAAAGCCTAGAACCATACCCTGGTTTAACATCAAACAAGCAAACAGATTAACCACACCCTAGTTAACATCAAACAAGCAAGCAGATTACGAAGCAGAAATTGGCAGTTAGCATATCTTTGCCCAGAGCCACACCCTTAACAGAAGCTATAATCCAATTTTTCTATAGCAACCTGGTGATATTTATAAAATGTAAATCAAAGTATATTGTTAACATGTATAAAGTGCCCAATGGCTTCTTGTTGAATTTAGAATAAAATCTAACTCCTTACCATGGCCAATGAAGTTCAATATAACCTCTCCTGACTAGCTCTTTAAAAAAAATTTTTTTTTTTTTTTATGGTGACATTTGTTAATGAAATCCAATAAGTTTCAGGTGTACAATTTAACAGTAAGGCATGTATATATTGCATAGTGTGCTCACCACCCATTGTTACATTTCTTTCTGTCACCACATATTCGACCCCCTTTACCCCTTCTACCTCCCCCCTCCTCCTTCACCCACTGCCCTCTGGTAACCAACTAGTCCATTGTCCATGTCCATGAATCTCTGTTTCTTTGTCTTGTTAGTTTGTTGCTTTTAGGTTTCTATCCCACATGTAAGGGATATCATGTGGTTTTCAACTTTTTCTGTCTGGCTTATTTTCTTTAGCATGTCTATCTCAAGGTCCATCCATGTTGTCACAATGGCAGTATTTCACTTCTTCTTATGGCCGAGTAATATTCTATTGTATATATGTACCACAGCTTCTTCATCCAATCATCCGTTTTAGGACACTTCAGTTGCTTCCATGTCCTGGCCACTGTGAATAATGCTGCCATGAACATTAGTGTGCAAATATCTTTTCGGATATGGGTTTTCAAGTCTTTGGGGTAAATACCCAGCAGAGGGACTACTGGATTATATGGTAGATCAATTCTTAGTTTTTTGAGAGACCTCCATACTGTTTCCCAGAGTGGCTGTACCAATTTGCCGTCCCACCAGCAGTTTAATCTGACTTTTAGCTAACTCTTCCTGGCCCACTCTGGCCTTCTTTGCTAGGCGTTCTGGCCCTGGGGCTTTTCCTGCT